TGCAGATAAGAAGGTACTGACTTAGGCAAGGCAGACTGGAATGGACATAGAACGTTATCAGCCAGCCATACGCAAACGCAGCTTTTGGCAAACCTCACATTCGAGTCCAGGATCTTTGGTTGTCGAAAACTTTTTTATTTTATTTAAAACGCTCTACTAGTGCACTTCTGTTAAAGTCCGATACGTGCCGCTGAGACCAGGTCGTGGGTAGTACGTGTAGACGGGCTGTTTAGCTGTGACAGCCAGTATCAGTTATCTTGTCATTGTTTTATCGAAGTTTAATGAGCTGGGGAGGAGAGAATGCTCTGAGCAACTCTGTCTCACTAATCCACGAGCACAAGATGTGTGCACAAGATGAACACCTTCGCTCGTGGCGGTCGAATTTTCACCCTTGATTCAAGGCCCGTCGCCTTGTTGGTTGTGATTGAGAACATTCACTGTCGCCAAAGGGGCCTTAATCGATTAATTTATAGGACGTGCTCGTCCCGTTTCGTCTTGGGAAATCATCTCAAGCCCCCGGAAGTAGTCATGCAGTGTTCCGTAATATATGCCGGAAAAGTCCGTCAGTACTGCACACTGAATAGAAAAGTCCGTATTCTGCACAATAGTGCGTGTATCGTCTAAGCAATGGTCGTGCTTAGAGCACTAGAATTCTCAGGTCGAATGCGAGGTTGTAGATAAAAGGCAGAAGACAGCAAAATTATGGCTTTGTTCTGCACAGAACCCTGCGTTGCTGTCTCAAACAGCAGAGGCCACTGGCAATGCCTGGGCTAGTAGTGACTGCGTTCAGTCAGGCTCGAGACCGTATGTGTGATAGTTGTGGCAACTGCTTTTACACGCTTGTGGATCAAGTTCAATTGGTGCGCGATTGGTGTGTTGCATTGCCCGGGGGTGTCGCGTATAGAGGCCCCTGATGCATCATTGTATAACGCCGCTTATGGTAAGGTTAAGCAAATTCTGGCCACGGTAGTTGTAATGCTTGGAAAAGTGCCTTTGGCTGGTGTGATTATCAAGATATAAAACGGCATGATTTACCCACCCACCCACTTCAGGTCATCCTCGTGGGACTTGGTCTGCAGCGAAAGTCCGCTGACCAACTTTCGGGTGAGCTGGAAAAACTCATGGGTGCGGAGGGCACCGGCTCCATTTCTCAGTCCCGCTCCGATGAGGGTTCTTCCTGGCAAATTAAACAACAGAATCGAGAGGCCAAGAGACCGAAGCCCACAAGCGGTACTGACCAGGAGGCGGCACCGCTGTCCAGTTGGGCTCGCCGGATCCGGGGTCTGCTCTTCGTCACAATGCGTGAGTTGGTTCGAAGTCTGGATGAGACGCTCAAAGCAGACGGTACGCAGCCGGCCAGTCAGGTGAGTCTGCTCTTATAAAATGCATCTTAAAGCTTCGCAGGAGGGGCGAGGGGCGAGGAATTAACCTCTGCCATTTACCTTAAGGTAACAGTCTAGTTAAGTGTTCACTATGGAAACAAAGCCCCCAGAAATCAGTAATACGGTCATAGAGCTGAAGCATTACGGGGACGCAGAAGAGAAAATAGAGGAAATCAAACGAACTCAGGGAATAGTTGAAAAATTATTTTATAAGTCTTATACACAGCAACGCCAAACGTGCGATAATTGAAAATATGAAAATGAAATGCAATGTAATAAATAAAATGATTTAAAATAAATATAATAAAATGATAAATTAAAGATAATAATAAATTGCCATTATTAGGTGTTTGGTTTCTATGGTGAGCCCTATAGTAGACTGTTACCGACCTTAATTATTTTCTCGCCGAGAGCCCTGTCTACAGCCATACATTTCGACACATTTTTGACATTTCCCTGATCACTCTACTATACCTGCAAAATAAAATGTTTTTTTTGCTGATTTTTACCATAAAGAGGCCAAATTAGGAAAGCTCCACATGTATGTACCCCCTCCGAGTCCTTGATTGAAGAGGCAGATGTGGCTTTCTGTAGTGCCGTTAACCCTAGTCCTAAATCACATTCTTTTTGTTTGACATTCTACGCTTGCTTTTTGCCGGCGCCATTTACCTCCTATCGCAGCGGGTTGAGTAAATAGGGAGATCCTGGCCGCTACAATTTTCAGGCCCGTTTCCGTAGGGTAAAAGAAGACGCCAGGCAGGAGGAAGTTGAATGTCGGACGTACGCACGTCGGCTCCCCCGAGGAGCGGCCTCCGACAATCATCCCAGCCGTCTTTCTGTGAATCAGCCTTGAAGGTGATTGGCCAGACGAATTGGGGTCGGCCTACAAGTGTGCGTACGCTGGTGGCCACG